GTGAAGATGATATTTTAAGGGTCAGAAGTGTGGAGAAGGGCTGAACAAACTATCATGAGTGCAGCACGTGGAGGACACAATCCCCAGGCCACCGTGCTGTGCGGACAGAGGGTCCCAGTGAGAGCTCGGGCGTGGAAGGTTCTGGACCACTGGCCTCGCCTCCTAGGAGACAAGCTCCATCACAGGCAGCGAGGGGTGCTGGCTGTGAGGGGGCCTGTGAGGGAGCCTGAAGGCTGGGGACTTCAACAGGACACAGCCCGTCCGAGCTAACAGGAAAGACGCGAGAGCCAGAGAAGAGCCGGCCGCTGGTGTGGAGTCCACGCCTGGCAGTAACAGAGGTGTCTTTCTCAGGGTGAGGGGTCAGCCACTGGGGGCGAATACCATCCTGGGCTGGAGACACTTCTTTCCCGAATCTCTCAGACTTTCCAATCACGGCTAGGGCTTACCAAATAACACAGATGTTATAAACTGCATCGTGTTCCCCTAATATCTGTATATGGAACTCCTGGCCCCCAAGACCTCAGCCTGTGACTGTATTTGGAGACAAGGCCTTCAAAGCGTTAATTAAGGTAAAATAACGTCACGTGGTGGGTCCTACTCCACTGTGACTGTGTCCTTACAGGAAGAGATGAGGACACGGACACACACAGAGGGAAGACTCTGGGAGGACAGGGAGAAGACATGTCTGAAAGCAGAGAGACAGGCCTCGGGAGGAACCCGCCCTGCCGACCCCAGGACGGAGGGAGAGGGCCTGTCTGGGGTTCAGGCCGCCGCCAGCGCTGCTTTGTTACAGCGGCCGAGCTGACTCACACCACATCGACGTGGGTGGCTGGAGAGCCCCCGGGTATCCCTAATGTCACACTGGCTCTGGTTCTGAGAGCCTTCGTGTGTCTAGCACTTACTGAGTCACCAGCTGGGGGCTTAGCTGTCTTCAGAAAACTCAAGAGAGCAAACCCACAGACAGAAGATGGACAACATTCAGAGGAATGCCGAATAAGAGGGAAGCTCGGAGCAGCCTAAGAAGGTGCGCACGCCATCCTGAGCCCCGCTGGCTCCCGGGAACAACGGTCAGGCCCTCCATGCACACTGACAAGGGTGACGAGTTCCCAGCAGGCAGCTGAGCCAAACGTCCTATGCACCTGTGGGCTGTGTCCTCCCTCAGTCTAAGGACCATCTGAGGGGCAGCCTGCCCTCAGCCGGGGGAGGCTATTTCCAGCTCGTGGGGCTGGTTTCCTTCCTGGCACCTCTGTGGTGGTCTGCTGAGGACCGCAGCAGGCTTGGCTCTCCCTGGGGTCTCCAGGGCACCTGGGACCCAGCCCTCCATGGTCTGCCAAACACCACCGTAAAAGTGGATGACTGATAAAGAGCTGGCACGTGAGCGAGCCAGAGCTGTTGGGAAACCAAATTCCATCACAACTCTTAAAAACACACGGATCAAAGGTAAACAGGGATTTCTTCATTCTGAGACCAAGAAGGAGTCACTGAAACTGCTCTTGCCTCAGGAATTTGTCGATTCATCTACGTGAGTGAACTGCGTGCCAGGAGTTCAGGCTCCGTGGTTCCTCTGGTGGATGGAGTCTCTCTCCCTGACATCTGCCCCTGGGTCTTCTGCTCTCTGATGGGGCGACAAGAACAGGGCCCTCGGCCACACCGCTCTCTGCACGTGTCCCACATGACCTGTTGCTAGCAACACAAGATTGGAAAAGGGAGTCCTTTCTTCACCAATCAGAAATTCCAGAGTTAATCCCTTCAGGCACGTCCCTCTCCTTCTTAGATGATGGCCTGCCTTCTTCTGGACGAGAGAGAAACCAGTGAGCAAATTTCAAGGTGCTGAGTCACGGGGAGAAACCTGAGAACTGGAAGCTGTCGGGTCCTGGCAGGAAGCGACCGCGTGCCCTTGTGTCCTTCCCCAGCACTGGACAGGGGCCTGGCCCAGAGCAAGAAGTCACCACAAACGACCAAGCCGTTCTCCCCCCACCACAGGGCTGCAGGCTCCAGGGGGCAGCGGGATGGGAGGGGGGACAGCTGCTGCCGTGAGTGCTGGAGAAGATGCAAGCTGGGGGAAGGAGTGAGCCGGGGGCTCTCTGGGCCAGGACGGGAGCACCTCCTGCAAAGAGGCCAGTGTGGGGGAGGACGGGGAGTGACGTGTGCCTGCAGCTACCCTCCCTGTGAACAGGTCAACAATCGGCACCTGGGACAGACAAAAGCTTTCCTTCGACTCTCTCACAAGTGAAAAAAAAAAAGCCTCCCAGAATTACATACAGAAACATGCAGAACGGTAAACGACAGGGCAGGAGCTCATGTAACTGTTTCCTACACTGGTTCCAGTTTAAATGCTGGCCCATGCCATGTCACATCATAGGGCACTCCCTCTGAAAGGAGTCAACTAGTTTCTATCAAGTTACAGAAAAAGGAGCTCCTACAGGTAACAACTATCTACAGGAACCGTTGTTTTTAAACTCCCAATTTTTTATTTGTTTTTAAATCATCGGAATGTTAAAAATTAGATTTCAGAGGACGAAAGCGTAAGTATAGGCTGTACTATTGCTAACAACCTTACTTGGGTAGAAAAAAGCAAATTAAAGATATGTTTTGGTGTTTTACAATGTCAAACAACAGGAAAGAAGCTGCAAGCCACAGAGAGGTTTTTGGAAAGTGGAGTTGCAAATCAGTCATTCTAAGACTTAAAATGCCACACGGTGTGAGCAGGGCTGAGCTCTCTCAGAGGAGCTGGTTTCCACTGTCACTTTTAGTTGGGACTGTCTCCTTGGAGCCCAAATCCAGGGTCTTTATAGCAACTGAGTACATTCCCGGTTCAACGTTATTGTTAATCACAACAAGGAGATCATCAGTTACACTGTTGGAGCGTGAGTTACACAAAGTAACGAGTCATTCCCCATTCGGTCATGCTAGCACCGTCTACGAATATATAAAATTGGCGCTCTTTTCAATGGATAGGAGAGGATTCCAAGTCAATAATAACATTATAAAAATATAAATTCCTTCTAGTTCACCTTGGGCCTGCAATCATCAGGCAAGAAACCAGATAAAACTTTTTGTAACTTTAAGATACAATACGACCAAGAGCAGTATGCAACGACTCAGTATGCAACGACTCATTCGCTCTACACAGATGATTTCACATCAAATTATGGAAAATTACCTACTTGGCTGATACAGAAATTGAGTCCAAGTACAGGTCGGAGACAGACCCCTTGCTGCAGAGTTTGTTATTATCAGATGAAAGCTGTGCCACAGACCACAGCAAGGGGGCCTCGAGGCTGCAGCTGGTTCAACCCAGCAGACATTTCTAAGCCCTCTGTGCAAATGGGGGTGGGACTCCACCTTTAGCATCACGATGTTCTGGTGACCGGTCAGTTGTCTTGAGTTGTCACACACACAATTTTATGTTGAGTTAAAGTGTCAAAGAAATCTAATAACTTCCCTTCCCCTCCACAAATTAGGGTGGATTCCAAGTTTCACACACAACGTCAGGCCTATTTCCTCGTCATCTGAGATGATTCTTGAGTGGTAGAGAAAGGAGTGCACAGAGAGAGGCTATCAGAGACCTTGGAGACTGATGGCCTTGTGAGCATCACCCCTCGTGAGCGGCTCGGGAGGAAGAAGGGTGGGGACCATGATCCCGAGACACCCAGGGACTCCAAGACAGTGCCTAGAATCGTAATCAAGCAGCGGAAGCTGAGGCCTGTGAAACAGGGTGGAAAATGGCCCACGCCACGCTAGAAACACAAAGATTAATTCTGACTGGCAGGGAGGATTCAGATGATGTTTATTTGTGTTTTTCCCATTTGCTCATGTCTCATCCAAACATTCCAGAATGAGGATGCGGATGCAGACACCACTGGAGGGCCAGTCCCAGAGAGAGGGCGGCGGGCTTGGAGTCCAGGCTGAGGAGTTCTGGTTTTAGTCTGCATCCTAAGGACTGCCCTAGAAGTTTCTAAGGGTAGGAGGACAATAGCAGAAAACCCTGGCAGCCGCAGCACAGGATGCACGGGAGTGGGAAGACCGAACCCAGGTGGATGGGGGAGCTCTGAAAAGCGCCCGTGTGGGCACCTGGGTCCCAAGCTCCGAGGATGACTGAGGACCCTGGGAGGTTGGAAAACTCCCTGGGTGATTTGAATGTGCAGTGAGGGCTGAGCAGGTCGGAGGGCAGGGGGAAAACTGGGAGAGGCTACGGAGTTCATCTGGACGGGAGGAATCCTCAGGGCTGACCCCAGAGTGCCCGCAGCAGGGGCCGGCTGCAGACTCGGTGGCGCTCTGAGAAAAACCCAAGAATTTTCTGCCCTTTAGCCAAACACCTGGGATTCAGAACAAGTTCTTCCAGCGCGTGACCAGGGACTGCCTCAGCAGGGAGTGAAGGTCAAGGCTGAAGCCAACGGGAGAGAGGCCCACTCTGCAGAGGGAGAGAGCGCGGTGCGGGGAGGGCGCCGGGAAATGAATGCTGCAATTAGGTTCAGGTGCTGACAGAAAATCTGATCGATTTCACCAGTAATAAATTGGTTTAAATTTTCACGATCTTTCAAAGCAGCAGCTAATCATATAGAGTGAAATTTGGGAATACTTCTACTAAAAAAACAGAAAATGTTGAAAAACAAAAGTATTTTTGCATGAGAGCAAAGGAATTTGATCATCTCTTTTCCACGAAAACCTTCCTGGGGCCTCTAGGACAACTCACACGGAACACGGGCAAGGGGCCTCTGCCTCCTCTTCTCTTTTCCTTCTTCGTTCCTCTTTCTCCTCTCTCTGTCGCTTTTTCCTCCCTCCCTCCCTCCTTCTGTTCCTGTCCAGGTCCAGGTCTGCCCACTGCCACGAGATTTCCTGAATAAATTAACAGGGAGGGCCCAGCTTCCCGCAGCTGTCAGGGAAGAGCTGTGGGGACTAAACCTATGCCTTATCCTACTACAGATCAAGAGGATTTGCGTTTAATAACAGACACAAAACATGCATTTTAAAGATTTTTGAGCCACGCTCACCCTTACCTTATTGCCCTTCTCAGGGCTTAACTCTCGCTTTCCAGCGTGGTTTCCCATGCTGCACCGGTGAGCTCTTCAAAAGCTAAAAGGAAAAGAGCAGCTGTTAGTCTTAAACTAGTACTTTCAGGGTTTTCGACATTGTTTTGCAAGCAAAGCAACAATCCTGTTAGACACGCTATGCCCATTTCCAAGACGAGAAAACTAAAGCTCCCAAACTCTGGAGACACGCTGGAAGCCTGTTAGGGAATGCGGTTGCCTTTGGATCCAAGGGAAAAAGCTAGAGAACAGGAGAGCTGCCAATACCTAAGTCCTGTTCAGTAACAAACACCCTTCAGCCCGTTTCCTTATCTATAAGACGTCAACCCGTCTCAAGAAATCTTGTGGGCTGTTTCCACACAAATACATACAGACAGAGGAAGTCACACCCGACTCAGGCGTAGTGTCATGAGACAAACCGAGACGCAGAAAAGTGCCAACACTCTCCTAAAAATAAAAGGTACTAAGTTGGTGCTCACTGTGTAGGGAATCGTGTGAACACAGAAACAGCAAGATCAGACCAAGGACAGCTTATCAGACAAGTATCCCAAGAATGTGCAGAATTTCTAGGGAAGATAAAGTTGGAGGAAAAAAAACCCATGTGCTCCTCATTTGTATTTTTTCTTTTTTTTCTGAGGAAGATTGGCCCTGCGCTAACATCTGTTGCCAATCTTCCTCTTTTTTTTTCCTCCCCAAAGCCCCAGTACGTAGTTGTATATCCTAGTTGTAGTTCACCCTAGTTCTTCTATGTGGGACACCGCCACAGCATGGCTTGATGAGCAGTGCTAGGTCCACACCCAGGATCCGAACCAGTGAACCCTGGGCCGCTGAAGCGGAGCACGTGAACTTAACCACTCAGCCATGGGGCTGGCCCCTGGTATTTTCTAACTCAAACTTTAGCAGCAAATTCATGATTTTTTTTCTCCAAAAGGCACAAAACCCATTCCAAACGCATTGCTCATCCCACCACATCCTTGTGCCTGCGGTAACCAGGAGCACCACCTATACCGCCACCTCCGACCAGCCACCCGGCTGCACCTGCCCAGGCTTTGCCCACAATTACAAAAGGTGATTTTCCACGATGCATTCTTTTTGAAGAACACGTGCGTGCCAAGCCCCTCCCGAACGAGGAACAGCCTTCCTTGAAAGGCAACAAAATGAATCGTCTTCTAAAAACGGGAATGGCAGATTTCTGAAATATTACATATGGTCAAAGGAAAGGCAAGTTTTGCTACCCAAGAAGCACACTTCGGAAAACAGGGAGTTGCCTACTAACTGAATTTTCCCCCAGTCTCCCCGATTACTATGAAGGACCTGGACGCTCTTTTCCAGAAGGCCCCCAGTCCATGCAGGACGCGCAGACGGTTGACAGGCTTGGGGAGAAAGGAAGCAACGGATCTTTGCAGCAACACCTCTGAGTGTGGGTGTGGGGTGTAGGGTGTATGGTGGGTTGTTACCCGGTAGAGACCGTAAACAGCTAGCCACCTTCATGTTATGTAAATGGAAACTGGGGCAGCGAGAACATTTCCAATGAGAGCCCCACGCACAGAGGGATTTTAAAAAGTGCTGTAGTTCAGATGACTTAGATGGAAGCAGAGATAATGTGCTCTGGTAAATCAAAGACTGGTTCCGGTGGTGATAAAAACACTACTAGCTGTGAAGAGTCACGTGACTTCCTCAGGTTTCATGACACAAGAGCGAAAAAAAACCAGTGTTTAAAAATGTATGCTCTTAAAAATTCAGGTCTACTTTTGCAGATAATTTTGGTATCAGGTGGAAGATATCACCTACCTTCCTAATTTATCTAAATTAGACAACAACAAAAAAACATTGATGGGGTAATCTCACTGGGAAAATGGAGGTTTGGAGCACATAAGGTGCTTTACTTGGTAAGAATGGGTACAAAAAGGAAAGAAAGAATTCTTTTTTGTCCTCTCGGGTCTAAACAGTAGTCAGAGATCATGAACGGGTGTGTTCCTGGCGAGAGATGTGGGTCTGGATGCTGGTGTAGAGCTGCTGTCAGTCTGAGGTTTGACGTCTCTTTAATTCCCTGCACTGTTGTTTTAATGAAATACTGAGAACTTGCAATACGTGTACAATGCATAGAGCAACAATGCTTCACACAGCTGTGGCTCTATCTCCCTGTTTAACAAGTAAGAATTAGTCCATTTAAAACTAAGCACAGGTAAAAAAAAGTTAACTTCTTTTTGTTAAAGTTGACAACTTGGACTTTTGGGGGTTTTCCATCTTGGCATAAAGAACCTCATGTTACCATCTATGTTCTCAGCTGGGCAGCATCTCAAACTCAGCAGCCTCTGATCCCTAGTCACCCCCTCTTACTGTCTCCATCTCCTCCTCCCCCTCCTCGGTCCATCTCTCCAGCTGGCAGTAGGCAAATCCCAATGCGATGTTCCCTCCATCCAGAAAACAAATCTCTAAGGATTTAACCTAAATCAGAACAGTGTGGGAACTGTAAATATTTGGGAGTTGCCTGTGGACAAAGGGAGAGCTATTTTTGGACACAGGCCTTTGGAGCACACTGAAATCCACCACAGATGCTTCCACGGCTCCTCGGAGACAGGTGATGCTTCCTCCAAGCCAGGCTGTTCGGATCAAAACCTTTATCATGCTTCAAAGCAAAACTTTACAGTATATTTGGGATGACTGTTTGTGAAATACTTTAATCAATATTTAGAAAACTCAGGACTATGGGACACAGAATACACCGAAGTAACAAAAGTCCAGGACAGACTTTTGAGTGTGTACAAAACTTGCTAGCTTTGACTGGCATCTCATATTGCCAGAATTGATTTTATAGGTGTCAATTAGAGTAGGCAAGTCTAGCCTTAAATGCACACTTTACACACTGGCAGGAGAGAAAGACAGGAAGAGCGAAGTAATACGGACGTGTGACGGTCTTCTCAGATCAGGGCCCTCCATCGCTGGGAAAACGTTTTCTGAGCATCAGCCCTTGAGACGCATCCCGCAGTACCGCGGTGAAGACAATGAGAGATGGATGATGGGCAGCTGGCTGCCGTCAGTTACCTCTGCCCGCCTGCCTTGAGAGACGGGAGGGGGCCCTCCAGAAGGCTGTGTGTCTTTCTAGAACTGTGCCTAAGAACTCCCCACCAGCAGCTGGCCTCCGTAACATGCTGAAGAGAACCATCTGCAGGCGAAAGAGCTCGCCGTCGGGAGGTCACATTCATTTCATCGCATTTCTGCAATTACTCAAACTGAGACAGCAGGAGAAGAATCTGGTGCACATGTGGAATGCCGCATGGAAGCTGGGCTGACTCTGAGCATTTCTGGGTATTGTAAGAGGCTTTTAGTGAAATAACAAAAAAGGGACGTGGGGGCAGGGGCAGTGGAGGGCTAGAGCTGGGAGAGGGGAAGACTTCGGTGGTATCAGGACAGCCACATACTCCTTAGGCTGAAATTCCATTCTAAATGAGATTTCCAAACGGTCCCTGAATTACTGAAAATTTCCATGATGTTTACATGATTATCAACACTTTGTATTAGCTACAGAGCCAAAACCAAGCACATCCAGTAAAAGTCAGTAATCCAGATTTACTGGAAAGCAATCCCATCCTTACTGTTGGCTTTCATCTTTAATAAGGTGCTCCTAATGCAGCTGAGACTCCTAACCGTCATGGTGGTGGAGGTCCTGGAGGAACAAGGACATCCACACTGGATGGAGACAAGAGAACGGTGATGCTGACATGCTTGGGGGCATGGAGGTGACAACCCCTACCTGGTACTTTAACCAGATAGTTCTACAGGTAGTTCTAAGTCTTTAAAGTGCAGACAGGGCAGTTGAGACCCAGAGCCCAATCCAGGTTCCTGCTGAGTGACCTAGGGCAAGTTCCTCCACCTCTCTGAGCCTCAGTTTCCTATAAAGTGGAAGTAAGGGAAACTCCCTCACTGTGCTGCTGAGAATGAAACAAACCGTAGGGGCTGGTTAAGGTTGGGTTGGGTTTAGGGTTGGGTTAGGGTTAGGGTGAAGGTGAGCTCTAGGGCTGGCTGGTTTCTACCTTTTGCTTCCCTCGCACCAGATGCATGTTTCCGGGGTGGGTGGGGAGCAGCTGAGGAAACAGCATCCAGCTACCCACGATCGCATGCAAATTGCAGAGACCTTTATGTGGGTTCTCAGATATGTGGACACCCACTCTCGAACTGCCAAGGTGAAGGGAAGGCAAAGCAGTGAAACTCCCAGGGGCCCTTGAGAAGCCCAGAAGCGACACGGCACAAAGAGCCGTGGCAAGGGAGCCTGCCTGTCACAGACGACCCAGCCCAGGAAGGACGTGGCTTCTGCTGGCTCAAGACTGCACTTGGTGGGGCAGTGGAAAAGAGAAAGAGAAGAGGATACTCGAGAGAGGCGTTCCCCAAACCTCAGAGAGGCCCCCGACACTAGAACGCTCAAGTGGCTATTTCTGAAGTTCCTCTGAGTGTTTTTACAGGCAAGGAGATTATTATGAAACCTTTTGTTTCGGTAAATTTATCGTGAGGTGGAGAAGGCCTCAATCCGAGTCTTCCTGGATAGGTGGTTTGTTGGATGAGGTTCCCCGAATCGTCTGCTGTGCCCCCCAACCTCCCAAACGTGAGGATATGAACAGGCGCGTCAGGTGCAGCGATGCGGGATGGAATTCCTCATGGCGTGGAGTCAATCGTCCGTCACCCGCACCTCAGTGTGCGTTCGGGCTCCTTGGTGATCACCTCCTCTGGCTGTATTTATGCCCGTGTCACAGGAAATGGACCGCGGCCGTACTATTTTTATAGACTTCCAGTCTCAGGCTTTGGTTTCATAAGATGCTGTTGACTGTACAATAGGTATTTTTTTCTTTTGGAGTCCATGTTCATGGAAGCACTCCTAAAATTAATGTTTCTGTGGAGATCCAGGATTCATTCCTCAGAGATTTGCTTTATCCTCACATTTCTACATGCCTTCTAAGTTACACAGTTACAGGAATAACCCTGTAAGCTTTATTCCCATTTTACAGTTGTGAGAGTAGAGTTTGGAAGACGGAATCTAGCTACGAGTGTGTG